GTGGTTGTTTGCCAGGAGGCTGTGGAAGGGGCTCGTCTTTTGCCTTTGTCCTACTTTGGGACACCTCGTCTAGGGCACGTTGCATCTAGGTGCGCTGCAATAGCTGATTCACCAAGGTTGTCTATTGTGCAAGGGCGCTTGTCAACTCTATGACTTGTCGAGACAAGTGTGGTTCGCCATTCGGGTTGGAAGATCTTGGACGGTATACCTCTCCTTAAGTTATAGAACTGTAATTGACTCCGAGCGCGAAATTTAAGTTGGGATATATCAAATCTATGAAGAAATGAGGTGAAAGTACCCCTAGTTCAATCATCAGTCTAGAAATCTGAAGTCGGGATGGTTGAACCGATCTTAGACCGGTTTGGATTGCTTGGAAGGCCACGGGAGTGAACCGAACCTCGGGTTAAACCAAGGGAGCGGGTCAGTGATATAGATAACCCTCTCACCTATTCCATGCCATGAATAGTCCTCAACAAGCTATATGGAACACTACAATGAATGAGGAATTAGAATCGATGTCATATAACAATGTATGGACATTAGTGGCTTCTAATCCTCAAATCAAGGCTATAGAATGCAAATGGATCTATAAGACCAAGAGAGATGCTTAGGGAAAAATTGAGAGGTACAAGGCCAGATTGGTTGCTAAAGGTTTCACTCAAAGAGAAGGAGTTGACTACAATGACGCGTTTTCACTTGTCTCTTCCAAGGATTCTATGAGAGTTATAATGGCACTTGTTGCGCATTTTGACTTAGAACTACATCAAATGGATGTGAAGACTACTTTTCTCAATGGTGAATTGCAGGAAACCATTTACATGAAGCAGCCTCATGGATTTGTTGAAAGGGGGAAAGATGACATGGTCTGTGATAAGAGCATATTTATGCAACTTAGTTAGCTTGTTTCTTGGCATTTACTTAGTTTAATTCTAGTTATTTTAGTACTTTAAGCTATTTTTGTGTGTTTGTAGGTTCAAATAACAAAGTTAGCAACAAAGTGCTATTTGGAGCATTTTGGAGCATTTTTGGGCCAAGATTGGATAGTGCAAGCATGGAGACATGAGGATGAACGTTTTTGAAGATTTGAAGGCTAGAAATCAGCATGTGTGTGTGCAAGTGTGTTGACCTACAACTACAAACATTCATCCACTACACCCATTACATCCACTCATTACCAAACATCCATCCACTACACCCATTACATCCACTCATTACCAAACATTCACCCACTACACCCATTACATCCACTCATTACCACAACATACACCACTACCACCTTAATTAGATGATGGTCCTCTCCCTATCCTATAAATACATCCACCTTTCACCATAACAAGGGGGGATCCATCCAAAGACCTTACATTCATCCATATATTCCCACATCCCCCAAACACTTACAATTCCATTCCTTTGCCGTGGCTCTCATCCAACCTAAATACATTCATAACCTTTCCATATATCCATACACATCCTTAGATACTTGTGCTGCAACAAGGTGGTGAAAACGAAGATCCTTGGCATTTCAAGCTTGAAACTTTGGAGCGTTTTAGGTGTACTTCGTTTTTGCTTTTAATGTCTACTTTGTTATTTTCTGATTTTGTTGCAATTATGAGTAACTAAACCCCCCATAGCTAGGGGAATTCGAAACCATGTTCATGCTTGCAATATGATTTGATTACTTTCAGTTGTGATTCATAAGTTGTGAATTCAATTTACTTATCCATTTGAATTAAAACTGATTTGTGTTTATTGGTTGAGAGTGCACGCTTAATTTTCATGCATAAATCTGATGCTAGGATATAAGGGAGTTTCACCTAATCGTTATGAACTTATATTCACAAGTAGTAAAGGTTGCTCGTCACAACCTTGTTAAGTAAATTCTTGGCATAAGTTTCATGCAATTCATAGTTACAAGTGTTTCGTCAATGCTTAGGATTTTCATAGAACTTAATTATTCTTGCTTGTATCTCTATTATGCAATTCTTGTGGGGAATGTTTTGGGTTCTTGTATGCAATCATCCAATTCAATGAAATTAGGAAAATCTGAGGGTTAATTAGTGCAATTCACAGTTAATATAGGGCGTTGAGAATTCGTAGTTTATTGAAAAGCAACTGGAAATCGTTTTGTTTGCAAGTGTGTCATGTGTGGAGAAGAACCTTCTAGCTAGCCTTCCATCAATTTAATTTACTCAAATTCGTACAGATTTACTTGTTTTGTTTTCAAATTCGTCAAAACCAAAACCCCCTTTACCTTGTTGAGTCATAGTAGTTAGAAACTAATTTAGTTTGTGTTTTTAAGTGTTTCGAACCAAGTTAAAACCAAAATTCGTCCAAAAGTGTGTTTAGAGTCCAAATCAACCTAGTTTGTGTTTTTAGGCAGATTTGAGCTTTTTTAGCTTGTTTTGAGTCTTTTGAGTTTGTTTTGAGTTCTTTGAGTCTATTTTAGTGTTTTTAACTTTGTTTATATGTTTTTAAGTCAGTTTAGAGGTTATTAGCAAGCCTTCCTAATCCCCGGTCCAGAACGATCCATACTTACATTCTTTACTGCAATTGATACAAGAGGGTTTAATTTGTGTGTTAAGTTAATTTTTGCATCAGTCTGCAAACTCAACAAGTCTATTTATGGATTGAAGCAAGCATCAAGACAATGATTTTTGAAATTTGATCAAGTTGTTACAAGACATGGTTTCGTGGAAAACAAGTTAGATGATTGCATTTATATTAAGTGGTCAGGTTCAAGCTTTATAATTTTAGTATTATATGTTGATGACATTCTACTTGCGAGCTCTAACTTGAAGCTCCTTAAGGACACCAAGCACATACTCAGCAAGAACTTTGAGATGAAAGACCTTGGAGAGGCACACTTTGTGCTTGGCATTGAGATTGTCTATTATAGGTCCAAAAAGCTTCTTGGATTATCACAGAAGGGGTACATTGAGAGAGTTTTGTTAAAGTTTAACATGGAAAACTGTAACAATGGTGAAGTACCTGTGAATAAGGGAAACAAATTTTCTAAGGCTCAGTGTCCTAAAATGAAATTGAAGCTAGATAAAATGCAATACAAGCCTTATGCTTCATTGGTTGGGAGTCTGATGTATACAACTATTTGCACTAGACCGACATTGTTTTCATAGTAGGAATGTTGGGTAGGTTTCAAGCAAATCCAGGAAAGTCTCATTGGGTTGCTGTGAAGAAAGTTTCAAGGTACTTTCAAAGAACCAAGAATTACATGTTGGTTTATGGCAGAGAGGAACTTTTGGAGCTAGTTGGCTACACAGATTCTGATTTGGGCGAGGATGTGGAAGACAAAAAATCCACTGGAAGTTATATTTTTATACTTTGTGGTGGTGCAGTCTCTTGGAAAAGTGCGAAGCAGACTATCATAGCAACATCTACAATGGAGGCAGAGTTTGTAGCCTGCTTTGAAGGAATGAAACAAGTTGTATGGTTAAAGAATTTTTTGATAGATATGACTGTTGTCAATTCTATGCAAAGGCCTATTAAAATGTATTGTGACAACAATTTTGCAGTATTCTTTGCCAAGAACAATAGGAGAACTTCAGCTTCAAGATTGATGGATGTAAAGTTTCTTAAGGTCCGAGAAAAGGTTAGAGAATGAGCATTTCAGGTGGAGCACTTGAGTACTGATGCGATGATTGCAGATCCTTTAACCAAGGTATTGCCAATTGGAGTGTTTAAAGCTCATGTCTCTCGGATGGGAATACTTGAATCATTTTATCAATGGGAGTGATCTGTTACAAAGTGACTATCAGATTGCTGTTGTGAAGTTCAGAGAGCTGGTGCAGCAATATAGACAGGTTTTATGTTTAAATTTTAAAGATTATGGCTAAATAAAGATAGTATCAGGTTAGCTAGCCTTGTTTTCAGTTTATTTTATTTTTCGAATAGAGATCAGTTATGTTGGTCTATTGTTTTGAGAAATAAAGTTTGAAATAATTCATTTGATGCTTTTATAATGGTTAGTTTGTTTAAAGCACTTGCTGAATTATTGATTCATATGTTGTTTTGGAGCAATGGTTTGTCTTTAAATCTTGCTGCCAATGGTATGAAATAGTGGGAGCAAATTATTACATGTTTGCTTATAAAGATCAGGTTCACAATGATAAGAATACAGATCGAATATATGTAATTCTGGAAAACTGTTTTGCATTATGGTTGCAATTTGAGTTACAAAGTTCTATATTTTGAAATGTATGTAAGTGGTTTGTGATTGAATACTCTTGATACAAGACTTGGTGATCACTTCTATCTAAGAATTGAATAAGTCGGGTACTTGAAACTGTTATCATAGTCAAGTGGGAGAATGTTAGAATGAGTATGAGATAGAGAAGTTTTAGGGACCGGTTATGGGTATTTAGTTTGGTAGAAGAGTCTTGTTGATAAGAGGTATGTTGATCCTTGCTTTAAAAGGATTTTGTATATCATTCAGATCTTTTGGAACAAGGAAACAAGTATCTGTTTCCTATCAGGATTTTAATAGGGAATCCTATCTAATTATGGAATGGACTATATGTATATATATAGTTGCCTCTCTTCTCACATAATATATGCCTATATTTGGGATTGAAACCTATTTGTAAGTCGCTTGATGCTTGATGTATTTTCCAGGGGATTTCTATAAGTCAAAATCAGGGGATTTCTGTAAGTCTAATTCTTGAACAGCCATTAAGAATAAGAGTCTCAACTGATTTTGACTTAATGAAATCCCCTGGAAAATACTCAAGCATCATGCAGTCTTGAAGATTTACCAACGGAAGTCTTTAAGATGCCCAATGGATGGGTGAATCTCAGACAATCTTATACAGTTTACTAATATCAGTTTTTCAAGATTAGGGACTTTGGAATTCTGGTGATTCTGTTAGGTAATAGGACTGACTGAGATTGATGATTTTCAGATTCTTGAGCAACTGATAGAAAAAAACAGAACAAAATAAAAATTCAAATAGAAGAGAGAGCAAAATATTGGCATTCACAGAAACTGAGGAAAATAATTAATAATTTATTTGAGATCATATCATACCACGTTAGTATCCTCCCAAACTCGTATGAGTTTGCTATAGCTCAGGTCAACAGCAACTAGGTTTGGTTGATCAAAATCTTCACGTATGACCTTCAGAGGAAATCCATGCCAACACAACCATCTTAACTCTTTGGAAAGATTGTGGTAACTTCCACAGCTTTATGTTATTGAATTTGAGCAATCTCAGACTTCGCATCTTTCTAAATGCTTCTGTACTGAAACTTGAATCATCAGACCCTCACTAAACTAAAGCAAGTCCTTCAATTGCGACAGTTCCCTATTCAAGGTAAAAAAAGGAACAAAGTAAGACAGAATTTATTTTGACATGAAAAGAGAATTTATACACATGAAGAAAACTGGATGTATGAACTACAAGCCATGAATTAGAATTCAGTTCTGAATTTCACCAAATTAGTTAGGTATCTTAGTCGGCATCTTAGTCGGCATCTGTTACACGGTGTTACTTTACCTATTACAAACCCCAGGTGACAAGATCCCCGGAAACACACCCTTTTGCCTCACACCACTTTACCACCATCATCCATCCATTATTTCCATTTCTTCCACAACATCTTGAGCAGTACTGCTTTTATTCATCCCTTGGTCATCAAGAGCTGGAGGATTACTAAAGTTATCATAATTTGGATAACTAATAATACTGTGTGGGGAAGAAGATGTGGTAAAAGAATTTGACCGTGGTAAGCCGGTGAGGCGTTGGACACAGTCGCTGAAATCGCTAAGGTTTGCTTGGATGACATTCAGGTGCACCGAATAGATTACGACCGGCTGATGTGATTGGTTTTAGTACAACTGGAGGTTTGTTGATCTAGTGAGAGTCTATGTGTGTATCTTGAGAGGCGTTGGACGTGGACCCTTGAGTTGAAGCTCTCTTCTCGGATATACAAATGGAGATTGGTTGATCTTGTGAGAGTTTCTGTGTATCTTGAGAGGCGTTGGACGTGGACCCTTGAGTTGAAGCTCTCTTCTCGGATATACAAATGGAGGTTTGTTGATCTTGTGAGAGTTTCTGTGTATCTTGAGAGGCGTTGGACGTGGACCTTTGAGTTGAAGCTCTCTTCTCGGATATGCAAATGGAGGTTTGTTGATCTTGTGAGAGTCCCTGTGTATCTTGAGAGGCATTGGACGTGGACCTTTGAGTTGAAGCTCTCTTCTCGGATATTTTTCTGTTGAATAATCCATGCCGTTGAAGGTGAAATAAGGCTGTAATCTTTCCCATTTATCCAGTTCAGTTTTCCATTCACTTCTGCTTTTTGTATGCAGACAAGAACCTAAGACTTCGAGTGCTAATGGCAAACCTCCACAGTAGCCAACAGCTTTTCTTGAGAGCTCAACATACTCTTCACCAGGATAATTCTTTTTAAAGGCATGCCAACTAAATAGCTCAAGAGCTTCTTCTTTGTTCATTTCTTGCACACGACATATCGCCTCCAGATTAAGTATCTTTAGCAAATCTTGATCTCTTGTCGTTATAATAATTCTACTTCCTGGACCAAATGAGTCATGCTTTATAGCTAATGCATCTAACTGTGCATCGCTGTCTACATCATCTACTATGACAAGTACTCTTTTGTTGCCAAGTCTTCTTTTAATCTCCTGGGTCCCTTCATCGACCCCACTAACCTTCATGTTTCCCGATCTCAAGATATCAGAAAGAAGTTTGTTTTGTGAATCAACCAGTACCTTATCTTTTCTCACATTTGGAAGAAAACTTCTACCATAAAACATGTGCTGATATTTGTTGAAAATTACTTTTGCAACAATTGTTTTACCCAGTCCGCCCATACCCCAGATTCCAATGATACGGACATCATTTGATCCTCCAACATCTAAATAATTACTGATTTCTTGCACGCGAGAATCCATTCCAACTGGGTGTATGGCTACGTCCAAGTAATTGCTTCTCAGTTCTCTACTGATTCCTTCATACCTGGTATAGGTAAAATTCAATTCAAAATTAAGCAAAAGTAAGATTTACTAATAAACGGTACAATTAAATTGAACTAAAATCTTACTCATTATAACTAGAGAGCTTGGGAGTGGAAGATTTGATAGGCCAAAGATGAATCAAAATCTTCGAAAACCATTAAAGCATTATAAATTTCAGAACTTACATTTATACAGGCATAAATGTGTAAAATCAAATATTTGATTCATGTGGTTGGCTCAATATCTGACCACACATGACACACAGAATGTGTTCATAAATTCTCATGGAAGAGTCTGGAAGCTCTACATTGCAATGAGTAAAATCAAATACTCAAAGCCGCAGTTATAATAATTTCATTGTTTGTTCGACATTTGATAAATATGAGAGTTAAAAAGACCAATACCTTACGTAGCCAATTAATAACTTTTGTTAGAAAGAACTAAAGGTAGTACGCATGATTGTGTACAAAAAAATGGGCCCGGAAATTTAAAAAAAAAAAAATACAGGAAAGGAAAAAAGAAATAAGAAAGTACCCATCAGCTCCCAATAACCAATCCGGATGTAGGCCAAAATCGTATAGACGAAAGTCTGAATTATGCATATTCTCCTTCATAAATTTGTCCCATACTAGATTAACCCCTACTTTCTTCACTCTCACAGAAGCATCTGCAGTTTCAACAGGCATTACAACTATATCGACCTTGTCCCCTCCTTGCAAACTGAGCACATGGTTCGATATCTGTCCCTGCCAAAGATAATGGTCATCAAGTGTACAGGAAGTTGGTACTGAAGCATATGTTATCCGGGCGAGCAAAGCAGTACGCTTAGTTTTATTGATAACGATAATGCCGAGAGGACCTTCACGTTGTTTCTTTGAAGAGTATATGCAGCACAGAGTCAACCCGCTAAAATTGTGACCAAAAATTAGAGGTATGTGAAAACTGACCAGATCACCCTTGACAAAATCAAACCAGTCAGGAATATAATTTCCATTGAGAAAAATGCCACCATATCCGCAAGAAGTCCATCCCTGTACGATGTAGAGCCAGATTTGTAACAAAATACATTGTTATGTATGCATGTGTCATATATATGTGCTGCTGTGTGTGTGGTAGAAAGAGAAAGAACAGGCTAGATAGAAAGAGACCTGAAGGATGTTCTTCCTAAAATCAGCAGTGAGATTGATGCACCCTTCCAAATGAATTCTTGTCATCGAGTTTAATGACATATCCGAGCCCGGAATCTCTGTGAGTTTGCATGAATGACTTAGATACAACTCTCTCATATTCAACAACTCTGAAAAATCTGGCATTGTTTCTAATGAAGTGCACAAACCCGCTCGCAAGACTTTCAAAGTTGTTGGTAAATTTGGGATTGCATGTAGGTTTGTGCAATCATCTAAACACAATGTTTCAAGCTTAGAAAGACCAATGAGGCTTGGTAGGCTACAAAAACTATTTTTTCGAAGATCTAAATCTTCTAAAGAAATTAGACTCCCAAGATCCTTCGGGATTTCGTCATCGGTTAAAGTGCAGCATCCAAGATCTAATTTCCGTAACGAGTTTAAGCAATGTAAAGAAGGGGGCAAAAGACTAGTTGATGGTGACTCTTTCACACCATATTGAGATGAAAAACTCAGCTTTAGTATTTGTCTTATGGGTGTGCCATCTGCTGTCTTATGGTAGCTCTGTCCCAAGCCCTCAGCCAAGTTTTCAAATCTTGAACAGCCTTTAAGAAGAAGAGTTTCAACAGACTTGGAATTAAAGAAATTCAGTGGGAGATCCTTGAGATTTTTGCAGCCTTCAAGATTTACCAAAGTAAGTCTTTCAAGATTCCCAATGGATGAGTGAACCTCAGACAAACTCTCACAATCATTCAATATCAATTCCTCGAGATTTGGGAGTTTTGCAAAGTCTGGTGTTCGTGCCAGGTTATGGGAATGACTGAGATTAAGAAGCTTCAACTTCTCGAGCAACTATTAGACAAAAGGAAAAACCAAAATAAACACAAACGGAAAAGAGAAAGCATGAAGTTGGTGCTTATAAAACCTGACAGAAAGAATTAATAATTTGGTTGAGGCCATATCATACCAAATCAGAATCCTCCCAAACTCGTATGAGTTTGCTATAGCTCAGGTCAATAGCAACTAGGTTAGATTGATCAAAATCTTTTGGTAAGAACTCCAGAGGAAAACCATGCCAACACAACCATGTTAACTCTTTGGAAAGATTGTGGTAACTTCCAGTGAGCTTTATGTTATTGAGTTTGAGCAGTCTCAGACTCTGCATGTTTCGAAATGATTCTGCACTGAAGCTAGGCTCGCCAGACTCTTGCATATCTAAAGCGAGTCCTTCAACGTCTTCTGTTCCCTATTACAAACAAACAACTAAAAATTAAAAATAAATAAAAATAAAAACAAACCAACAACAGCAGCAACAACTGAGGAACTAAGAAAAGGATTATTTGCACGGGAAAAGGTGATTAATTCATATATCAGAACCACAAAGCCCTGAATTGGATGGATGAACCACATGGGAGGTAGACAATTAGACAATCTAGAACATGGGCCTCTCATAGGCAACTTTTATTATATATCTGCTATAATGTGCACATATGTCTCGATAATAACCTTAAGAGTTGTACTTTAAAACTGTCTACATTAGTTAGGTATAACAAATTGTACTTAACAAGAGCAGGACATGTGTGATTCTGTTATTTAATTTGAGATAATTCAATACAATCGGATCCTTTGTTGTCTCTTACAAGTTCCTTTCTCTGCTACATTAGTACGCGCACTTTAACATCTAATTTAATTGCAAAAGTACTTACAGATTCCTTCATCAATACGTCAGTTATATCTTCATTATGCCACAATCTGCTACGTTTTCCAGGATTGTCAGGGGATTCTGCATGCACAATTTCTCTGCCCATGCCTTGAATCAAATCATGCATCATGAGATTGCCTTCTTTATCAACAGTTACAAGGCACTGATCTTGGAGTTCTCGAATCCCTATTTCTGGATAAAACTGACAGCCGTCGAGTACTGTCATAACATAGTCCTTGTTCATTCCAGTAAAGAAACAAGAGATATCAAGGAATATAGCCTTCACATCATCATCAGTTAGTCCATCATAGCTTATTTCAAGTCTTCTGTGAATTTCCCGATAAGGCTGTGATCTTTGCCATTTATCCAGTACAGTTTCCCATTCACTAGTGCTTTTTGTAAGTAGATAAGAACCTAAGACTTCAAGTGCTAGTGGCAAACCTCCACAGCAGCCAACAGCTTTTCTTGAGAGCTCAACATACTCTTCATTAGGATAATTCTTTCTAAAGGCATGCCAACTAAGTAGCTCAAGAGCTTCTTTTTCATTCATTGCTGGCAGAGGACATATCTTATCCACGTCAAGTATCTTTAGCAAATGTTCGTTTCTTGATGTTATAATGATTCTGCTCCCCAGACCAAAGGAGTCAGGTTTTATAGCCAAAGCATCTAATTGTGCTACACTGCCTAAATCATCAATTACGACAAGTACCCTTATGTTGCCTAACCTTTGTTCGATCTCCTTGGTCCCTTCATCCATACTACTTACCACTATGTAGGCCGGTTTCAAGATATCAGAAAGAAGTTGTTCTTGCAAATCAACCAGTTTCTTTTCCCTCACGTTTTGAAGGAAACTTGCACCGGCAAAACTATGATGATGTTTGTTGAAAACGGCTTTTGCAACCGTTGTCTTACCCAGTCCACACATACCCAATATTCCAATTATGCGAACATCATTTGATCCACCAACATCAAAATGCTTACTAATTTCTCGCACGCGAGAATCTATTCCAACTAGGCTGGTGGGTACCTCTATGCATGTGGTTCTGCCCAGTTTTTCAGTGATCCAAGCAATAACGTTCCTGATATAATCCCCTTCATGCCTGGTGGTTAAAATTCACAAAGCAAAAGTAACAATTTATTTTGCAACTTCAAGATTACATTAATTTTTCAGAAATTGATGAGTCAAAATCTCCAGATACCATTACAATTTATTAAACTGAAATCTTGGTTGTTAAAATTCAACAAAGCAAAAATGAAAACTTAAGGATGATTTGGTAATCATTTCATTTTCAGTTTTTAGTTTTTGTTTTCACTTTTTATAAGATTGAAAACTAAAATCTTATTTAGTAACTACTTTCAATTTTCAGTTCACATTTTATTCAGTTTTTATTTTTGTTTTTGTTTTTGTTTTCTCTTTTTATAAAACTGAGAACAGTAAACAAAAAGTAAAAACTGAAAGCCAAATTGCAAAAATTGAAAACCAAAAACAGAAAAACTTCACTATTTTGGTTTTCATTATTTCTTTTTTTTTTTAACTCAAAACCAAAAGTGTTGTCAAACAAGATTTTAACTTTTAGTTTTCAAAAAAGTAAAAACTGAAAACGAAATAGTTATTTAAAATTAGGATTAATATCAATTTATTACTTTGAAGTTTTTTTGTTTTCAACATTTCATACATAAAAAAAATTTTATCCCATCTGTAGCTAAAATCATAATTTTTGGACATTTTCATAAATTCGTTAAATTTTCAGTCAGAACCTCCATTAATTGATGACGTGACATCCACATGAACAATGATTATGAACTATGTGTCAATATAACCCATGTGGGTTTTAAAAAACTAAATAAAAAAAAATTCATATATGACATGTTAAAAACCAAAAATCTTCATAATAGTAAAATAAAATTAACTCTTAAAGTTATAAGCGTGATTTAATCATTAAATATAAATAAATAAATAATGGATGGGAAATTTAAAACACACAACAAAGTAAGGAAAATGAAAAGGAAATAAGAATGTAATTACCAGAAAGTACGAAAATTAAATCCGGCCAAACCTCTAGCTTCATTCAGAGCGTTTCTCCAGAGATGTACCTTTTCTTCTTTAATTTCCTGTTCATATTTCTGAAACACCTGTGCAAAACTACCAGTCTGGTTCCAGACATCTGAGGTAAGTGAGCAAGGGTCGCTGTATCTCCATCGGCACCCGGATGCAGTGTTAAATGAGCAAGGGGGCCATAGAAACTTCTTTTCGAACGACTCCACTCAAAGTTGTTTGGGAGCATATGCTCCTATCAACTTTACCCGGGACACACAAAAGAAGTACTTTGATCCTATTAGACGGGGGAGGGTGAAGAAGCTAGGACAGAAGGGTAGAGTTCAAGAGAGCAAAATGCGTTTAGGAACGTGGAATATAGGAACCTTAACGGGAAAATCTATGGAAGTAGTGGAAGTTATGGTGAGGAGAAGGATAAATATTATGTGCCTACAAGAAACTAAGTGGGTTGGTAGTAAGGCAAAGGATCTAGAAAACTCAGGGTTTAAACTTTGGTATTCGGGCACAAATAGAACGAGAAACGGTGTTGGCATCATCGTGGACAAGACCTTGGTACAAGATGTTGTAGATGTCAAGAGGGTAGGAGATAGAATCATGGCAATCAAGATTGTAATAGGACAAGAACTTATCAATGTGATTAGTGCGTACGCACCTCAAGTAGGGTTGGATACGAGTTCGAAGGAGAAATTTTGGGAAGATCTTGGAGACTTGGTGCAAGGAATTGCTCAGACGGAGAAGTTATTTATAGGAGGAGATTTAAATGGACACGTGGGCAGGGAGACAGGCAACTATGGAGGTTTTCATGGTGGCCATGGTTTTGGGGAGAGAAACGAGGATGGGGAAGCTATCTTGGATTTTGCAATGGCATATGATCTCTTCTTAGCCAACACCTTCTTTAAGAAGAGAGAAGAACATGTGATCACCTACAAGAGTGGGTCGTCAAAAAACACAAATAGATTTTCTTCTAATGAGGAAAGGGGATCGTATAACTTGTAAGGATTGCAAAGTTATACCAGGAGAGAGCGTGGCTAATCAACATCGCTTGTTGGTGATGGATGTACATATCAAAAGAGTAAGACAAAAGAACAAGACTTGGAAGTGCCCAAGAACTAGATGGTGGAATCTAAAAGAAGAAAAACAAGCCATTTTCAAAGAGAAGGTAATCATCCAATGTGTGTGGGATAGAGAGGGGGAAGCTAGCCAAATGTGGGATTCCATGGCTAGTTGTATCCGAAAAGTAGCAAAAGAGGTATTAGGAGAGTCCAAGGGCTTTGCCCCACACCAAAAGGAATCTTGGTGGTGGAATGAGGAGGTACAAACAAAGGTGAAGGCTAAGAAGGAATGTTGTAAAAGCCTTATACAAGGAGAGGACCGATGAAAATGGTGAAAGGTATAGAAAAGCGAAGCAAGAGGCGAAGAAAGCTGTCAGAGAAGCTAAGTTAGCGGCTTACGACGATATGTATAAACGACTAGATACCAAAGAAGGAGAGGAGAGTTGGATATCTATAAACTAGCTAGAGCAAGGGAAAAAGAAGACAAGGGACCTAAACCAAGTGAGGTGCATCAAGGATGAGGATGGAAAGGTTCTTGCTACAGAGAACGCGGTTAAAGACAGATGGAGAGGTTATTTTCATAATCTTTTCAATGAAGGACATGAAAGGAGTGCTTCTTTAGGGGAGTTGAGTAACTCAGAAGAGTGTAGAAACTACTCCTTTTATCGTCGAATCCGGAAGGAAGAAGTGGTTGTAGCTTTGAAGAAGATGAAGCATAGAAAAGCAATAGGCCCAGACGATATACCAATCGAAGTGTGGAAAGTTTTGGGAGAGACAGGTATAACATGGCTCACTGACCTTTTCAATAGGATTTTGAAAACGAAGAAGATGCCAAATGAGTGGCGAACGAGCACTTTGGTGCCTATCTACAAGAATAAGGGCGACGTACAAAATTGCATGAACTATAGGGGTATTAAGCTAATGAGTCATACAATGAAGCTCTGGGAGAGAGTCATTGAGCATAGATTGAGGCAAGAGACACGGGTTTCGGACAACCAATTCGGGTTCATGCCAGGGCGCTCAACCATGGAGGCAATCTATCTCTTACGAAGATTGATGGAAAGATATAGAGATGGGAAAAAGGATTTACACATGGTCTTTATAGATTTGGAAAAAGCGTATGATAGGGTCCCAAGAGACATTCTTTGGAGGATTTTAGAGAAGAAAGGAGTACGAGTAGCATATATCCAAGCTATAAAGGATATGTATGAAGGAGCAAAGACTGCCGTAAGAACTCATGAAGGACAAACCGAAAGCTTTCCCATAACTGTAGGATTACATCAAGGCTCATCCTTGAGTCCTTACCTTTTTGCGTTGGTAATGGATGAGTTAACAGGACATATTCAAGATGATATTCCTTGGTGTATGCTTTTCGCAGACGATATAGTGTTGATAGATGAAACTCAGGAAGGGGTAAATGCAAAGCTTAACCTTTGGAGAGAAGTGTTGGAATCTAAAGGTCTTCGCCTAAGCCGATCAAAGACAGAATATATGGAGTGCAAGTTCAGTGCAAATGGAGGCCAAAACGAGTTAGGGGTGAGGATTGGAGATCAAGAAATACCAAAGAGCGACCGTTTTCGTTACCTAGGATCTATCTTGCAAAAGAACGGAGAATTAGATGGAGATCTCAACCATATAGAATACAAGCTGGATGGATGAAGTGGAAGAGTGCATCCGGCGTGTTGTGTGTGACCGCCGTATGCCATTGAAGCTCAAGGGAAAATTTTATAGGACGGCAATAAGGCCGGCGATGCTGTATGGCACAGAATGTTGGGCGGTGAAACATCAACACGTACACAAAATGGGTGTAGCGGAGATGAGGATGCTTCGTTGGATGTGTGGGCACACGAGAAAGGATAAGATTAGGAATGAGGATATCCGGGGTAAAGTAGGAGTAGCCGAAATTGAAGGAAAGATGAGAGAAAATCGGTTACGGTGGTTTGGACATGTGCAAAGAAGGCCTACTGACGCTCCGATTAGAAGATGCGACTATGGGACAGAGGTTCAGGGCCGAAGGGGTAGAGGAAGACCTAGGAAAACTTTGGAAGAGACTCTAAGAAAAGACTTAGAGTACTTGGATCTAACGAAGGACATGCCACAGGATCGAGCACAATGGCGTTCTAAGATTCATATAGCCGATCCCACTCAGTGACTTGGATTTTCCAAGTCTCCAACCAAGAAGTTTTCCTCACTCGGGTAATTAAGGGAACACTACCCCAACCTACATGCTCCACTTAGAAAGCTTCAACATACAAGCTTCAACAAAAGAAAATTCAAAGAACTTAGCGAAGAAGGCTTTGGTATATTTAACACAATACGTTGAAATGAAGGAAAGCTTATTTATTGATATCCCCGATAAGCTACAAATATGTACATATACATGAGTCAAAATAAACACACAAGAGGGAGCCTTCACAAAGGTTGCTTAGGAGAAGTCTCAGCAGTCGGTAGAGCCCCAGAAAGAGAAGGCACCGGAGGGGGATCATTTGGAGCCTCAGTACTGGACAGAACCCTAGAAGGAGGAGGCATCAGAGGTTGATCATTTGGAGCTTCATTACGCGGTACAGCCCCAGAAGACGAAGGCAATAAATGCCTTTGGAACAAACCCACAAATCTCTGATGATCAAGTAAAACCTGACCATCAGTTTCCTTCATCTGGTCAAGCTTCCTCTTCATGTTTGTAGCATAGTCATGTGCGAGCCGGTGCAACTGTTTATTCTCATGCTTGAGCCCTCTAATCTCCTGTTTGAGACTCATCACTTCAGCCGCCAATGATTCAACTTGGCGGGTTCGAGCAAATAGGCGTTGGGCCATATTAGACACAGAACCTGCACACTGAACACTGAGAGCCAGCGAATCCTTAACAGCTAACTCATCAGACCGTTTGGAAAGTAGTCTGTTATCTTTGGGAGTGAGAAGGTTCCTGGCCACCACCGCAGCGGTCATATCATTCTTCATCACGGAATCCCCAACGGTAAGAGGACCAGTTGGGGAGAGACGAAGGATGGGCGCCATATGTTGTCTGGAGAAGGCGGGCTGCCTCTTCAACAAGGTTCAAGTCAAAACGACGGTCGGAGGGGCCAGACATTTTCAAAGGTGTTGAAGAGAGAAGAGGTCGGACAAATCAAGATCTTAGAAGTGCAAGAATGAAGCTTCTACTGGTGGAGATTTAAGTGTGCTTTGGAACTTAATGCCAGCCCCTATAAAATCTGCACTCGACGGAGCTTCAGAAATCAAAGAGGCGCCTGCTCAGAAATCGAAGAGGCGTTTGCTTTCTCAAAAAGTTGGGCTGCTTAGAGATCACGAGGGTTGATCTCAGAAATCGAAGAGCCGTTTGCTTTCTCAAAAGTTGGGCTGCTCAAAGACCACGAAGGCCGATCTCAGAAATCGAAGAGGCGCTCGCTTTCTCAAAAGCTGGGCTCCCTAGAGACCACGAGGGCCGATCTCAGAAATCGAAGAGGCACCTACTTTTCCAGCCTTGTCAGCACCTGTCACACGCACACTCAGCTTTGCGGAAATTATGGGCATTCTGTCAAAGACTTCTGGGGAAGTAGAAAACACATGAATCTTACTGTTCAATCACCCACTTCCCACACGCAACAATAGCTCATGGGTACCACAGATAACTTTGCCAAAGTTCTCTGCCAAAGTTGAGCACGTGAAGCTTGCAGCTCCCACTACATCGCTCTGACCAAGAAGGGTAAAAGAATAGCAAAGAAACAGCACTAACAAAGTTTAGACCCATAAATTTTGAAGGTCTAGCTACCATATTATTACCCACAAGGGTAAAGGAACAGTACCACTGCTGGATAATTGGAAAGTCCATGTATGTCAACCTCTGTGCTTCGTGGCAAGGAGGTAGACTAGCAAACATGCCCAACCTTTACTCACATTCGAGAAAACACTCCCAATAAGATTGCTTGCTCCAAAAATCGAAGAGGCACCGTCCTCCGAATCTAAAGAGCCAGACTCCCAACATGACTACTTTCTTAAAAATCGAAGAGAGGGTAAAGGAACAGTACCATTGCTGGATAATTGGAAAGTCTCTGTGTGTCAA